TTCTTGCAGTTCATCCCAATCAAAGCTTTCACCAGCAACCATGGAATTGGAGTCTTTCAACACGAAGTTGGTGTCGTCTTGCATTTGGCTGGAAGTTGCAGGCGCTTGTGTAGGCATTATGGGTTTAATAATGGTGCCGTTTGGAAGTGAAAGCACAATTGGCTGCTGCTGCTCAACTGGATGACAAAGTTCGTCGACGTCGGATTTTTGTTGCAATTGGTTGCTAGAGTTGGTGTAAAAGAGGGATCACATAAATCATTTAACTGAGAACAATTTCTAGAAAGGAAAAGGACGCGGAAGATGTATGTTTTCTTGGGAGACGAGGCTGGTGAAAGGGAATCGAGCGAGAAAGATGGAGCTGAAGATTGGGGATTTTTATCGGTGAGTTTAGATTTGATTTTGCTTTTACGCAAATATAAGAAGAAGACGATGAATCTTGAGTGGGAGATATGGAATAACAAGGATAAAATTAGAATTTGAAGATAATAATTCTCATTATTTTGCTATATTTACAATTTTAAAAAGTGGTTGATATTTTCCTAAATAAAAAAATATTTTGCTACTCAACACAATTTTCCTGAAAAAAAACAGATTTCAATTTATTTTTTCTAATCCTTTACTTACATACTTTATTGATTATTAAGTCTCACCATGATAGTTTTTTATTTATATTTTGTATACTTCAACACTCCCCTGTAGTAAAATGTAACATTCTTTTTTATATATATATTAGTATGGGCAATTTTTAGCGCGTGATTCGAATTCGTTTAAACTGGATTCATATCATATATATTGGCATGCCAAATTTGATCAAAATGCCCATAGTTATCTGCTTCATTCATTTCTTATTTATTCTTTTTGGAAACATTTCTCTGAGTGCTTTTCCTTGGGTGGTTTTATGAACCTCTATATTTATATTTATATTTATATTTATATTTATATTTATATTTATACTAGACCACATTACACATACAAAATAGACTACGGAATTTTGAAAGTGATGTTATAACCCAACAACAAAAGTATGAACAACGTTGAAATGAATGAAAATAAAACGTTAAAAACATGCCAAAGCAAAGTTTATAGTCCAAGAACAAGTTTGCAACATCCTACCGTAAATACAAAATCAAGAGTACGGAAGGAGAAGAAAATGAAGAATAACATAGGTGTAAGTGTCCGAACCGACCCATGAACGATCTGAACCAAACAGTTTGGTTCGGTTACAGTGAAAGTCGGTCTGGGTCGGTTCCACCCGACAAAACCAATGTTTAAAATGCATTGCCCTAACTTATATCACAAACAAAAACCCACCGCCTCCATCCATGGCCTCTCTCCCTCTCTCTCACACTTATACACAGAGGCAGCAAACTCTCTCTCTCTCACATGGCGGCGGCATCAGATTGTCCCTCTTGCGATGGTTGCAAAAGAAATCGACGGCGGCAGTACTCGAAACATATCCACGGTGGCGGTGACGAAACAAATCCATGCATCTTTGATTTTGACCCCTTCTTTTCATCTTTGGATTTTGATTTTAAAAGTGGGTATTCTTGGGTTGGTTTTCATTTTCGTCTCAAGTTCTATTCGAAAGAAATGGAAAGAGAAAGATGAAAATGGAGGAGGGTTTTGATTTCTATCTCTTCTTTATTTTGAAGTGGGATCTATGGAGGTTTTCTACGAGGAAAAAACTTTGTAATTTGAAGGTGGGTTTTGATTTCTATCTCTCCCTTGTTTTGAAGTGGGTTTTGATTTTGAAGATTTGAAAGTGGGTTTTGATTTTAGAGATTTGAAAGTAGGTTTTGAGAAGAAGAAAGAGGAAAAATCTTTTTGTTTCAAAATCTTTCAAAAATCTTTCATCTTCAACTTCTTGTTTGGCTTTCTTAAAACTAAAAAACAAAAAAAAAAACAAACAAAAAACTCCTATGGAGTGAAGGGGGATAATCTCTTGGCTTATATGTTTGAATAGTGGGAAAAAACCGAAGTCCGACCCGACCCGATTTGACCCTAACCGAACATTTTCGGGTCGGGTCAGTTTACAGGCAAACCGACCCGAACCGACCGACTTACACCTCTAGCAGTTATCGTCTTCTCCAACGGTTTCTTGGGAGCTTTCTTCAAAATGGTTTCTTGGAGCTTTCTTCAAGTGAGAGTGAAGTGATGGGATGAGAAGTCTTGGAGTGTTGTTGGAGGCAACCATAATTGCAAGCTTTTATATCCCTCTTGATTTTGGGATTAAATATATGGTATTTTTCTATTTTCTCGGGTAAAAGCTGTAAATGTCAACCCTGCCTTTTTGACTTCGATGTTGCAGCATCAACAATGTTGTAGCAAAACATTATAATAAAAAAATGAGGATAGTGAATTTATATCATTCTTTTGCACAAAATCATCCTTAACTAATTTATATGAATTCTTGCCTAAATAACTCTCTTTTGGAGAGTTATAAGTGGTTTTATGAACATCTATATCTATATTTATACTAGACCACGTAACACATACAAAATAGACTATGAATAAATATTTTGAAAGTGATGTTGTTGTAGCCGAACAACAAAAGTATGAATAGCATTGATAGTTGTAGACAATAAAAAAAATTCAAAGAATTTTGAGCTGTGTGAGTCAAAATGTCCTATACAAAAGAGTGATCAGTGATCGAGAAGTCCGCTTCAGTTATTGGTTAAAGATATATGTCAATTACCGTTGAGCTATGCTCGCTTTGGCTAAAAGGAACTTGTATTATTTACAAATATCTATACTAATATTGATTATAGTAAATAAGTAAATATGATTTGAAATTAAACTGTACAGGTTTAAATTATTGTTGTAGTATATCTATGATTTAACATTCTGCAAGCTTTATTGACAACCAAATACAGTACGATCATACTAGACAAGCTCGCATATTCACTGATATATATAAAAAATCAAATTAATATAATTACTAAAAAATAAAAAACAACACTTTATCTACAAATAGTGAAAATAACACCACTGCTCTATCAATTAATAATTCATTTCTATTTAAATAATAATAATAATTTGATAATATAGGTCAGTTGCTTACATATTGGCTTATGAAGCCACACTCTCGTTACCAGTGGAAAAACATACAAACTATCATTGATATAAATGATAACCAAATATCGTTGGTGTACGTTCTTTCTAATAATAGGATATATCAATAATAGATATAACATACAAGAATGCAAACATGTAGAAAACAAAAACAAAGTCAAATATCGTTGATATAATATTTTTTATATTAATGATATGATATACATACTAGTGACAGTACATAAGTTATTATTAATAGATAATAAAAATTAAATACCACCTTTATATCTTTTTCATTATCAATAAGGTATATTAGTAATACATCCAATAGCAAAAAGACATGCAAACAATCATTGATTAACGTCTTTTATTGATAGATGCAATAAATGATTGACGTTATTAGTGAAACGTATATGTTCATTATTGATAGACTCTAATAAATAATTGACCATAATCATAGACAGAAATGTGTCTTTAAAATATGATCGTGTACCTGTTCAAATTCTCAATTCTTACACGTTTTATCTAGATTTAGTTCAAAATGTTGTTGTATTTGCAAATACTTTTAACTTGTGTTGGATTTGCTATTATTTTGAGTTGTATTGTCACGTATGCAATTTTCCCAATAATTAATAACAAAATATTATTTTTTAGTTAATCAATTTGGGGTTAGAGATGACAAAAAAAAACCTGCGAGACTCGATCCCCGCGGACACCTGATCCGATGGGGAATCCCCGATTTGATCGGGAACGAGGTCAAATTGGAGATCCTAAACGGGTTCTCCAGCGGGGATGGGGAGGTCTCCCGTTTAATATTTTAGTAATACTTTATATTTTTATATATAATTATATTAATATATATTAATTTTAATAAATACTTTTAATTGTATTTAGTTGAATTTTAAAATATTCCATAAAAAGAAAAAGTTTATATTTTTTAAATAATTAAAATATTAGTAAATATTTCTTTACAAAATTAAAAAAA